GCCGGGGGCTGACAGGTAGTTGGCAGACCAGTGCCCCGCCCCTCACCCCTGCAGCGCTACGCGCCCCGCCCCGCCTGTCGCGCACCGCCGTACACACACCGTCGTGCCAGTCAGTCTGGCGGTGGAGTGTCGCCGCGCAAGGCCGCCGCGGCCCGAGCAGCGCGACGTGGAAGTGACGTTGTTGTGCGCGTGACGCTGACGGCCGGGTCGACCTCGGGTGCGCGGCCGCGGCCATGCTCATGTGCCTCGCGCTGCAGCACGGCGCCGACACCTGCAAGCTCGCGGCCTCGGGCCCGGGTGCGGACCCGCTGGAGGTGGACCTGGAGGCCCCCGACGTCCTCCTCGGCGGCGGCCCCCCGGCGCCGGCTCCGCCTGACCTAGTGCCCGGGGCACCGGGACAGAGGTATTTACCCAGCAGGTGGGCTTGCCTGTCGTCTGCCATCAAATGGCGTCTGACGACTAGGCATCCCGCCCACGCATCTGCGTTGCGGTTACAGTGCGACATTGGCGATGAGTCCACACGGGGACTGCAGCCTCCTTCTTGTATCATCGATACTTATCGCTTGCATGTTGTTGGTAGTGGGAACAGGGCGGACTAACAAGGACGTTTCAGTGGTTGCTTCCTTAAAATTCCAGGGTATATGTCAGATTTGTGCGCTACAAGAACAACAAATCTCGTTCGCGCTAAGAGAGCTACGCCATCGATAAAGTTAAAAGTACACTGGAAACGCAAGTGAGTGTATGTCGCACACTTGCAGGTGTGTGAATATCCATTCGTACAGTTACAGAGGTAAACGTATGAATTTTGTAGGAAAATTCACACGTTTACCCCTGTAAGTGTACGAATGGATATTCATACACCTGCAAGTGTGCGACATTCACACACTTGCTTTTCCAGAGTACGCGAGGCACACCTGATATACAATCACGTCACTCGCTTCCAACTCATTTCTCCCCAAAGTCGGTGTGAACACATTCGTTTAGTGGCTCCGTTGGTGGAGGCCAATTTAGTAATCGGCTTTGGGCTTCCGACACGGCTTTACGCACGGTATTCACCCGCCCTTACACCCCTCTACTCGTGTCGTGTTGTTTTGTCTAGTTTATCGATAGGCTTTGGTGGCGCCGTGACTCATCAGTGCGCCCCCCTCCCCCCCCTCCCCCTCTCTCTCTCTTTTTCTCCAGCGGCTGACGCTGCGCGAGCCCGAGGGGCGCGCTGTGCCGCGGGC